CCCCCCCTCTGCCCCCCATGTTTAGTCTTTTTGGGCCTACGATGGACAGCCACAAAATGAGTCAGAGTTGATGTTCTATTTCAAGGTTTCACTGTCCTTCCAACTGTTGTTTGCTTGTTCGCGCGTTCCCCCGCTGTTTTCCCCTCCATCCCCTGTGTGCTTTTCGCCGGTTTTTTAAACCTCGTTTACATTCAATTTTGTGTAGGTTTTTGATCACAACAACGACTCAGTCATCGATCCCGATGAGATCAAGCGGACTATGCACTTCCTCGGCGAGTCGGTGACGGACGAAGAGGTGCAGGCGATGCTGTTGGAGGCCGACACCGATCAAGACGGCCTCGTTAATTTTGAAGGTACGTCTTTATCCTTTTTGTTTATTAGGGGAGTAATTTTCGCTGCGTTTTACAGGTGTATTCTATTGAGACGCGTTCTCTGCAAAATCACCCAATTTGCTCGTTAAACGTTTGGCCTAAACTTGGTGTCTGCATGGGGCTGAGTCTTCTACTGCGTGATCAGAAATCCATAAAATTCTGTTTGATCTGGAAAACCGCGGCCCGCCAACAAAACCGTACAACTCAAATCTTTCGTTATGCCTTGTATATATATACAAGACTAGATGATCCTCTGAAACTTGGATGAATGAATGTTGACACAGTCGTTGCCTTAAATCAACGAGTGTTTCAATATCTCCCGAGCTTAAACTAGCAAGATAACGAGCTCGTGGCTCAACGGTTAGGGCGTTAGACTTCTGATCAAAGGGCTCCCGTCTTCGAGCCGTGGATGGTGCACCACTTCGGTTTGATGGGTATGACTGGTTGACGGCGGCTGATAAGTCAGAAAGGGCCATTGCAGTCTATTTTTACTTTGCCGGCAATATTGTCTGCTCATACAACTAGCTGCTACAGCTGCTCTCAGCTCCCCATAAATGTACCTAAAGGGAAAAGGCGTAGCGGGACATGTGAGTTCCTTTAGCCTTCGAAGAACACTCACCATCGACTGTCAATATCCTCCAATCTTAACCGGCAGGACAACGAGTTCGTAGCTCAATGGTTAGGATGTTATACTCTGATCAGATGTCTTGAGTTCGAGCCTCGGGTGGTGCACCAATTGGAGTTATTCAATGACTGGCCGCTGATGGTTAATGAGCCATAAAAGGCCACATTCCCGTCAACTTTGTCATTGCCGAGAAGATCCCCTGCCTATACTACTAGCCGCTGTGCGGTCGTTGTCAGTGCCTAGGAAATAAGACACACGGCAGAACGGGACGAAGGACTGCCATTAGCAATCGGTTCTTGTTCACGTACGAGTGTCATTCCAGTCTCCATTGGCCTCGTCGGCAGTGCTGTTCTATATAAAGTTATTACTCCAACTCTGTGTGATCCATATCTCTAGAGTTCCTCGGGTTTTCGATGTTTTTCGTTTAGCGTGAGGTCAGCAGCCTAGAAGTAATCCTTGAAAGTCTTTTGCACAACCCCAGAGTATTGTTATCTTCGAAAGGACGTCTACTTTGCCGGTAGTGCGACCATGCAATTTTTGCTGCAAAACGTATCGCCGAGGCAGCAAGAGTAGGCATTTGCTGGGTCCTTGAAACACACACAAACATACAGTTCGTCCCCCAAATGTCACCGAGAGACAAACGTCAGCATCCACACATTTTCTCCTTTGCAAAACGTAAAAATACTTTTCAGGTAGAGCTGTAAGGAGGAGAGCGCGAAGCAATCCCTCCTGTCCTTACCAATAGGCGTGATCTCGCCTTTTCTCCCCGCTGCTGTCCGGCGGGTGAAGGGGGGGGG